AGCTTCCCTGCCTGCAGGAGCGAGTAGATTTTTTTTCCTTATTGACCTCAGCTGTGAAGACGGATGAAAAGAAATTGCTCAGGGCTGTATTTGCACTTTCTTCTGGACCTGCTGAGTGGTTTCCCTGAGAGATTCGTGGTACAGGGAAGGCAGTGCAGGGTAGAACCTTCCACTCTCTCCTTTCAGCACTGTTTGTTTTCAGTCACATCTTTCTGAGAAATGTTTTATTTAGGAAGAAGGAGGTTAGCTTTTCCTCCTGGTCAAAAAGGGGAAACATTTTCTTTAACACAAAGCAAGCAACAGAGAATTGGAATTATTTTTATAATGCTTAAGCTTTGTCAAAACCCCATTTTCCTATGAGAGAAGAGATGGAGAGAGGGAGCAAGACCAAGGAAAGCCTTTGACTCGTGTCGGGTGTTTACGTGCACGAGCATAATTTGTACAATGTTTTCTCTGCCTCTTCTCCTTGTCCTCTCACCACGTTCCCTCTGACAGAGTGTCCCTTCCAGGGCCTCCCATCTCTCACATCCCCACAATTTCCCCACAGCACTGATAATTTCTTCGCCATACTCCATGCTCTCTCACCCTCTGCCACTGGCTCTCAAACTTCCAGCTGGACTGTTGGCCACTGTATTCTCTTTTATATGCTCCTTACAAGCATAACCAAGTCTGTTCCCCTCTCACCTTCCCCCAATCAAGCTGACTTCTCTGCTGTCACAGAGCTGGGGTCGTCTTTATGGAGCGAGCTGGCATTGCCTCCCTGGAGAAATCTCCACCTGCAGGTGGATCTTCTTGGCTTCTCTCGCCGTTCTTGGCTCCTCTGTTTGAGTCTGAAGCAGTGATTTAGCAGAATTTGTTTTGACAATAGCAAAGGATATTCCCAGCCAATTAAAAATATGGTAATGGAAAGATGGGAAGGAAATGCGGCGCTTCCTCTGCTTGAGGGGTTTGTTGTTAGCTGTTACTGTGCTTAAAGGGATTAAAAGTGCACGCTGCAAGTCCATGTCAGATTGAATGTTAAGCTCCCAAGCTGCAGCCATGCTCTTGAGAGCAGGGAAACAATAATTCACTACAGTTTGAGATAGAAGGATTACTTCAGTAATTTGCTTATTGACTGGTATTCTTTCTCACGCAGGCACGTACATGCATGCACACAAGCACATGAAATTACAAGGCATTTTATTAACATCTCGTGCTGCAAATGGTTGAAATCGAGGATCGTTTAGAGCACGGCCTCAGAAGCAACGGCCAAGATGCTGTGCAGTGCTGAGGATGGGCTGAGTGATGAAGGGCAGAGGTTCTGGAAGATGTAAGCTCGTGTTTTTCCTCCCATGGGAAGTTCTGTACTTCTGTGCTTATTTCTCCCCAGAGTACATCTACCAGCCGCAGTAACATGTACCTCAAATGGCTCATCCTGCTCTTCCTTAGGGATCCTGTGGCTGTATCCAGTGCTGGGTCAGGATCCCCAGAGGGCAGTTCTGATTCCTGTGCCTGAGTTTTTAGTCTGTGCAAGGGCTCTGCAAGCACTTTGTTCCACGGCAATGGGTCAGTATGGGCACAGCAAGACTCAGCTCCTGGCATCTCTGAGGCACAGCATCTCCTGCCTGGCCCAAGGTCACTGTGGTGAAAGCTGAGGGCTGACATCCACGCAGGGTTGAGCTGTTTTCTTGCCAAGTGCTGGAGAAGCATGTAAAGGGTTACATCTGACGGGGAGCCAAGGCAGACTTTATAGCAGTGCTGTTTTTTAACAGGCAGCCCAGACTTGTAATATCAGCACTTACTGAATTAATTTGCTATGTAGCTCCGGTAAAGCTCAAAGTTCTTTCAGTGAATTCTAGTTTTGAGAAAAATCAAGAAAGTAATTACTTGGCTTGGTCATTAATTACTCACTACTGGACATTTTCGAGAGTGTAGTATGAAAAGCCTGAGGCAGCTATTAAGGGTAGCTCTAATGCTATTGATCTATTTGTGTTTATTGTGGAATTTCTCTGCCTTTATGACATTTCATTGAACTAGAGGATACAGGTGCGTGGGGCCAGGGAGCACGAGCTGTTCTGTGCCATGCCTGCCCTCCTGGCGGGACTGGTGACTTCTCAGTGTCCCCAAGGAGGGCCTGGTGTGGGGCTGGGGTTGGGGGCTGGCCGTTACACGGCTGCACAGCTGGGGTTGCGACGCTCCAGCATGGCTCAGGGCTCTGCCTCATTCCCCTCCAGCCTCCAGGATGATCAGTTTCCCATTCCCTCAAAGTGCCACAGCCTGGCTGCCACCTCTGCACGTTGGCAAGAGGGAAAGGTGTAAGGCGGCAGCAGCAGCGTGACAGTTGTCTGGTGAGCTGGAAATGCAGCAGGGAATGGGAACAGCTTCTGGAAAAGGGCAGGATTGTCATTTGGCTTCCAGGGGTTTCTTGAGGCAGATGAGGTCTCACAAGGATGGTGTTGGTTGGGTCAGGGTTTGTTCTGGCTCTGTTCCCAGCAGTGAAAGGTGCAGACATTTCATGTACCATCTCAGACAGAAAATGCCACCGTGCCGTTATTATTATTATTTTTTCCTGTACCCTGAAGAACAGGGAAAAGCAGCAAGCATTTAACAGTGCCAAAGGGATGCAGCTGCTCAGCTAGTGCCTCCTGGCCTTTCTCCTTCTCCCATCATATTTGGTATGCAAAATTGAATCACACCCTTCTCACCCCCTTCCCACTGGGGGAAAGGTGGCCTTTAAATCATAATATGATTGCAGACGATGTTGCAGAAGGGGAAAATGAGATGAACTTTAAACTCCCCTTCGCTTTACAAATTTGTTCATGTCTTCCCTCATAGCTGCTTAGTCATGCCTATTAGATTTACCATTTTCGAGAAAGGAAAAGTGGAAGGGAATTTTAGTATCTCTTCAGCATCTGACTTGGTGCCTTCCTCCCCTCCTTTGTGTGGTTTAATCAGGAATTTGCAGAGGTTTTGATTGGGCTCCTTTGATCCTAGAGCAGAGTCCCCCAGGTACGGGTTCGTTAGCTCTCATTAGGAGAAGCAGCATTTTTCTGTGATGGTGCAACGTCCTTGTACAGCTAATTGAAGAGCCATCGCGGGCACTTTATTGCTTCGTTACTTTTCGCCGGTGCCTCGAATGCCTGCAATGACCGACCAGGTTGGAAATGAGCAGTATAGAACACAAAGAAGGGAAGGGACCAGTTGTTTAATTAATTAGCAACTGCTGAAGGAAACACTTTGCATTTTTTATTTTTTTTTTTTCCATGCAGACGGTGCAAAACTGTGCTACTGGTTGAAATTAAGAAAATGAAATCAAGAACTTGGCAAGTTGCATTAAGGAGGCTGGGTCTACATTTGCATATCAAAGGTAGCCAGGATTCTTGGAACAGTCACCCGCATTTTGAATGGGATTTTGCACTTTGTTCAAAGAGTTAAATCGGTTTTGGGCTATTAGAGTTTGCAGAAGGAGAGCTGATTTGCATATGTGCTGTCGGTGGGGATCTCATACCTCAGCCTGGCACGTCCCCAAATTGGACATCAGACAAGATGGCCACGGGCCTGCTCCTACCTGTCAGCTCCTCTGGTCTTGCGTTTGTGGTGATGGGATGGAGGAAATGGGAAGGAATGGGCAGGAGGGAGAATATTGAATAGCAAAGAAGAACTTCTCTGCAGCGGGCGGAGAGCCAGCGGGTCTGCACCAGCCGTGGAGGAGCCTATACTCAGAGCAGGTCACAGAGCTGGATCTCAGCCCTGGCACTTCTGCAGCCATTTCAATTAATGTCATTGTTCTAGGCAGAGCTCCTGGATGGAAAATGTGCACTACTGTGAAATGTGATAGTGCTGTGCCCTGGGGTTCTTCTTTGGAAAGTGCTGAAATGCGCAGTGCCATTTCTGGAGGTGTGGAGGATATGGCACCTGGGGGTCCTGGCCAGCTACTGCCAGAGTGGGACCCAGTGGTGCAAGCTGAAGATGGATTTAGATGCTGGAAGAGAACAGTGAGGAGATGCGGTCAGTTTTCCCCCCACTGGAAATCATTCAGGCAGTGTTGGGTACCAGTGTAAAAGATATGCTGTAATTCCACCAAAGACACTGTTTTCCATGGGAGATGTTTTGCCAGGCGTGGGCTAACTAGCCAAACCTTGTGGTAACAGCATGCCCTCCTGGCCTCAACACCCAGAGCTGGCCACCACGTTTTGTCCCCGACTCTGTTCCAGCCAGCATTCGTGACTGGATTTTCAAGCCTGTTCTATCTGTCTGCGTCCCTGTGTTGGTGAACAGGTTGCAGAATCACAGAACATCCCAAGTTGGAAGGGACGAATGATGATCATGGAGTCCAGCTCCTGCCTCCACACAGGAACGTCCATAAATGAAGAATAAATCAAACAGTATTTGTGAGAGATTGTCCAAACGCTTCTCGAGTGGCCTCGTGTCGCTGCCTGCTTTGAAGGACGCAACTTTGCAGACTCTGCCAAGACTTTGGATTTAGACTTTCCCCAAGCACCTCCTGATGGGAGGGAGCTTGTCCCTAAGGAACAGAGAACAAGGGGTTAATTCTGGCACAGCTCTGCCTGTGTGCTTGTTCACAGCTTGATAGAAGCCATGTCTTATCTAGCACGTCTTCTCTCTGTGCATCTGGTGGGCATGGAGAGCCTAGCCTGCAACCTGGCATGGATTGGCCATTCCTGCCATCTTCTTCCAACCCTGGCTGTTGGGTGTGCAATCTGCCCGCAGTGTCAAACATAGGTGGCTTTGGAGAGCAGAAATATGCTGTGTAAATACTCCTTATTTATCATCTCGTTTGCTATGTCCGAGGGGACACACAGGGCAGTGGGAGAAAGGGGTGTGAAGAATGAGTAAAGGACACTTCTGCTCCATAGCTGTTCGTCACCGTTGTGGAAATACTTTGGTATGGCTGCCAGACAGGAAGGTGCACTCCCCCAGCCTCCTGATCACGTTATTATATTACACCTGCCATTCCTTTTTTTCCACTAATATGTTGTTTTTGGCCTGACAGCTTTATGAAGGAGAAAAGAGAAATAGAGAATGAGACGTGCGCCCCTACAAGACGCGGTGTTCATTCCTCACCAGCGAGGGATGGGTCTGCCTCAGACGTGGGAGATCTGCCGACTGAAATATCTTGCTGTTTCCAGCAGCTCAATCTGCCACCAAAGGGAGATCTCCAGTTTGCAGAGGTGAGGAGATGGGGCAGGATCGGCTCTGGAAAATCGATCCTTCAGCAATCTCACTTTCCCGGCTCCCTGATCTCTACAGGGGTGTTCAGTTAGTGGGAATAACCAGGCCACTCTCTATGTTGGATGTTGCTGATACGGTGGGAGTATGATGATCTGGTTGACCACATCATCACCTCAGTGCCTTGTTCTTGGCTGAATCAGGCTCTACAGGCAGTAATGGCTAATGTCCTCTGTGAGTAAGGGTTGGTGGAAGAGCAGTGACCCCAGGAGACTTAACGCTGGTATCATTTTGCAGAGAGGAAGAAGGGAAATGAAGAAACTTGTGGAGGGGAAATGCCATGTCAGACACGGCCACTAGTTATTGTCCTGCATTCAAAGGCCACTGGGCAGAAGGAAGTGTGTGTGGGAAGTGGGAGAGGCAGGAATGAAACCTAAAAAGTTGCGTGTTGTCATTGTGAAAGTGGAAAAAAGGAGTGTGAAAAGGGCAGGAGTTCAGCTGAGCTGGATATTTGCTGGCAAAATGTAAAACGGAAAAGATAAAAAACAAAACAAAAAGACACGTTGGGAATGAAACAGAGAGGGAAAGCATTCCAGTCTGGAAATAATCCCAAGCTTTTGTCTGTCTGAGTTCCATGATTCATCAGTGAGGGTGGTGAGGCATTGGCACAGCTTGCCCAGAGATGTGGTGGATGCTCTGTCCCTGGAGACTTTCAAGACCAGGCTGGATCAGGCTCTGGGCATCTTGATTTAGTTATGGTGTCTCTGTTCATTGCAGAAGAGCTGGACTAGATGATCTTTAAAGGTCCCTTCCAACTCTAAGGATTTTATGATCCTATCAGGTGACTCAGAAAATCCACTGAAAATGAGGGTGCTGTGTGGTGAGGGTAAGCCTTGGCTGGTCCCAGTAGGGCTGGCCAGGCACAGGACCTTGCAGGATGTTCTCTGGGCTCCTTGGCCAGGTCACTCCTCTGCTCCAGCTGCAACAGCAAGATGCTCTGAGCTCAAATCCCTGCTGTGCTTCCTCATGATGGGAAGGAGGAGTTTGCAAAGTGAATTGTGCTGCTCCCCTGGGATCCCTTTGTGTTGTTCCTTCTTGCTGTGGTTTGGGGTCATCATGTGGGTGTTGACCTTTGGAGCATGTGGGAAGGTAGAGAAAAGGGTGCAGGGACAGGACTGCTGCTCTGCAGTGTGACTGGTCTGTTGAGGTGCAGCAGGGGAGAGGCTTCAGTCATATTTGCGTGCCAGTTTGATGATCACAGCCACAAAGAAAGCCCAGAGGACTTTATAAGAATGCAGTTGTCAGCTGGAAAAAGAAACAAAAGGCCAAACCACTACACCACTCATCCATGTATTTCTTTGCCTTTGGCCTGTGTGCTCTCCCCAGGATGCTTAACCTCACGGAGCACATTCTTTTGCAATAATATTTGCGTTGGGCAACTCATGTGCTGTCCCCACAATGGCCCTTTTTGCTAACTGCATGCCAGTCTGTGCTCGTTTACCGAGGAGAAACAGCTTCAGGCTTTTCCATTCCCACATTTCAGCAGAAATGTCTAATTCCCAGGCATTACGGGAGACAGACTGATCAAACAGAGCAATTAATTCAACAAACAATACAATTAAGCCGTGATCCCAGTGTAGTTTCCACCCAGAAACAGAATCAACAGCCTTCCCAGCACGGATAAATAAACTCACAGATGGAGGCTTTTGCGAGTGGCGAAGTTTTCCCTCCGCAGCTTTCCTGAGAGCGCATAAAATCGTGGAGTACATAAATCTCTGGCTCTCCGTCCTCACGGATGGTGAGGAAGGAACCGTGCGCCTGCTGCGGGGCAGATGTGTGCTGGCTGGAGGCTCGGGAAGGGAGCAGGGGCTGCGCAGAGGCGTGTGCAGTAGTGAGGCTGCATTGCAAACAAAGGCTGCTGCAGCTGGCTCCTCCGGCGTCCCCAGGGTCCAGCTCTTGTCATGGTCTTGACACGAAACACATGGCGTGAAAAGCTGTGAAGGAGAGGAGTGACCTGCTTCACACTTGGCTGGATTCACTTGTTACTTCAGAAAGCCGATAGAAATCCCGCTTTCTGAACTGGGTGTCCAAACCATCTGAGTTCAGGGTGGAACAAAATGCTTTGCTGAGTCCTTGGGCAATATGCAGGAACAAGTGAACCAAGGAGAAGGAGAAGGGTGAACAGCAGGGAGAAGGGGAGCTGACATCATCTTCCCAGAGATGATGCTGGATGCACAAAGGTGGAGAGAAGTGGACTGGTGCTTTTGACCCTTCCTAAAATCAACTGGAGACCATTCTGGGAAAAGCTTTTCTATTCTCCGTCATCACCGGCCTCCATCCTGAGCCTATGGGAATTAGTGAAATATCACCTCCTGTGAGGGACAACAGTGCAGCAGGATCATCACAGCAGCTCAGGGAGGAGGCTGTGGGACCTCACAGCCAGGCTGGAGACCTGCAGGAAGAGCAGCCCTTTCTGGGAGAGCTGTGTGGAGGTGCTCTGGGGTCAGGAGAGGTGGTTGGATGGAGGGGAGCAAAGGATACACTCAGGTTACGCTGCAATTTGCACAGTGAGGTGGGGGCTGGAAATTTATTTTAGAGTCAGAAGCACGAGGGAGCTGCACGCTTTCAGAGAGGTGTGAAAAGCCTGAGTGATGCACCCAGTGCCTGCAGGGAGCAGCGGGAGCAGGCTTAGGCACAGATGTTCTGGGCAGAGAAAGGAGAGGTTTTTCTGAGAGCAACCTCTGTGGTGCTGCTCGAGCATCATCCTGCTGGGAGAGGCTGTCTGGAGGCTGGGGATGAGATGGGTGCTGCAGGGAGCTCCAGCTGGCCCTCAGCTGGCTAGTGGGCAGGCAGGAGGGCTGTGGGGAACCACTGGAAGTCATTCACCCAGCTAAAATCTTCCCCAGGAAGAGATGAAGCTGAGTTCTCTCTTTTTTTCCTACTAGAGGCTGTTTCTGTGGGTTTTTTTTTCCCCCCTTCTTTCCTGTGCCGCGTTTATCGGATGCATTCCTCAGGATTCAAGATCTCACTGTACACCCAGATGACTTGATTTAACATTCCGGGTCTCTGAGCAGGGACTGGAGGCAGTGAACCTGGCACCAGCCCCTGCTACTGCAGCTTGAGCCTTGGCAGGCTGTTGTGCTAATGACGAAATTAGCTGGGGAAGCTATTTACAGCCTTGGGCTGGGCAAAGCCTGAGGAGTGCAAGAGCTGTGCTGCAGTGTTTTTGGGGCTGGGGAAACGTGCAGTGTGTGATATGAAGGCCAGACCATCACATAGCCAGGGCTTCTCATAGAGACAGAGAGATTTGCTTGGGCTGATGTTTTCTGGGACCTGCCCTGCTGTGCCTTTGCATCTGCTGTTGCCTGTGAAGCGGCGGTTTTGATAGTTGCTGAACAGATTTCCTGGGCTTACATCTACTGCTTGTCACATTGACTTGAAGGAACAAGGAATGCCTTCCTTTTCTCCTGCCTCGTATCAGAGATCAGAGCCCTTCTGCTTCCAGACAGGGAAACAGCTGCTGTAAGGCTCATTCTCCAAATCTCTTAGAACTGGCCACCCTCCAGCTCCCCTTAGAAGAACCCCCTGGCAAGCTGGGCATACAGGTGGGCCAGCTGCTGCCATGCTGCCATCTGGGCCTGCCTGTAAGGTTGCTGACAAAGCTGAATCCTGAGTGTAGAGAACAGCAAGGGTGAAGCAACCCAGGTTTTTGAGCAAGGATGCGAACCACTGCTGGCTTGAGACTTGGGAAGGGGGAAGGCTGGAGGTGCAGATGTGTGCTCTGAGCTGACCAGAAAGAAATCACGCAGCTGCAGCTCTGTGGTGCTGAGCTCATGAGTTTCGCCAAGAGGTGAAATAGTTGTCTTGGGCTTGGTGCTGCTCCAGTTTGACTGCGTGGCTTTTGGCTGTCTCGAAGTGAGCTTGTGACTGCCTGTGAAATGTCGTGGGCTGTCCTGTGTCGCTTGTTCTTTGCCACCATAACGGCTGTGCAGAAAGCCTGGGGCGCAGCTGATGAAGATGGCAAATCTGCCCTCCTGGCAATGGAATGGAGGTGAGAACCCATCTTCCAGAGGCTGGCTGTGGTCAGGCTGAGAAAGGACCTGCTCCAGCCAGACTGAGCACAGTAATCTGGATGGTTGCTTCTGTGCCTCTGCAGCCTCTGCCCAGAACAACAAGCTCTTTGTAAGTGTTAAAGACTACTTGTGCTGTTCCTAGCAGGGTGTTAACAAGTGCTGAGTTCTGGAATCCTGGATGATACCAGAGATTTACGTTAGGTATTAGGAGGAAGTTTTTTTTCAGCCAGAGGGTGGTGAGGCACTGGCACAGGTTGCCCAAGGAGGCTGTGGATGCCCCATCCCTGCAGGCATCCAAGGCCAGGCTGGATGTGGCTCTGGGCAGCCTGGGCTGCTGGTTTACGACCCTGCACACAGCAGGGGGTTGGAACGAGATGAGCACTGAGGTCCTTTTCAACCCAGGCCATTCTATGATATCTGGTCAGAAACTGTGCTGGGGATGGGATGCAGCCTGCACTGGTGAGCTGCCTCCTGGCCTTGGAGGAAGCCTCATCAGGGCAATTGCACTGCATCTCTTCTCAATGCGCATTTGAGTTTACCAGATTAAAGGCAGTGCTTGTGCTTCCTCTTCTTTGACCAGGAATATCGTTGTCTTTGCAGATGTGCTCTGCTCTGGCAAGGTCTGCAGGCCAGTCTGCTGCAGGGATTCCTCAGCAGAAGCCTGAACGGTGTGGGTTCAGCTGTGCTTGACAGGTAAGCTGTGGGGCAGCTGTGTCAGCCTGGCCCTTAGCTCTCGCCATTACCTCTCTGTTGTCATTTACAAATTTCGGGGTCCTTTCCAGCAAATACTGTCACTATTCCATGACAAAGTGCACTTCCCTCGGTGGCTTCCCTTTCCATAGATCTGCTGGACAGACTGTTTGTGCTCGTTGACATGGAACAAGCTCAAGTGAAATGAAATCATTTATAAAAGTCAGGAGAGAACTTGGATATTGTAATTCACTTCCTGCCATGCTCTCCAAGCTGCAATTAACATGGACCTGCAAGATTACATGGTGTTACTTGTCCTGTCTCTTTTCAGCCCCTCACTTCCTTTTTCCTTCCTCATTTCCTTCCTTTCTAAGCTGGCCTTATTGCATATCTGTTTTTGCCTCTCTCTTTTTTTTTCTCCTCTCTCTCTGTACGTTCTCTATTTCATCCTTATCTCTTCGCTTTGTACTTTTTTCCCCCCCTTTTCCCCACTCTTTGCTTTCCATATCTCCTGTATTCTTTCTTCCTCTTGCTCTCTTTATTCTCCCTCTATATTTAAACCCGGGCAGAAACAAATTATTTATGAAGGGCTATAATTTATGATGCGTCCTTAATGCCTTGGAAGGCACAGATAATTTATTTAATAAGTAAAGACATGATAATTCACAGATGATGATTCCAGTCAGAAAAATTAGTTTCATTAATTTGTTGTAAATTCTCTGCCTTGATTTAGTGCAGGAAGAGTTCCTGAAACCCGATTCAAATCTGTGTCTTGGTGGGTGTTTTTTTTTTGTCATCACAGAACCAGCATGCAAGCATGCTGCCTTCCCCACCCCGTGTTCTCTATGTTGCACTCCTGCTTTCTGCTCCTGTCCTCCCAGCACTCAGCACAGCTAGCAGAAGCATTTCTTTGCAGGGCACGTGGCTGGGAGGCCTGAGGTGGAATATGAATGGAGGTACTACAGGCAGGGCTGGAGGTAAAACAGGCCACGCTGTCTCAAAAATGTATATTTTGCAAAACTAGACGCAGTTCTACAAGATTTTGTCCAATTAACTCAGCCCTAAGAGAGAATAAAAAAGTGGATTTCTCTTTTTAATAGAGTATAGAAGGCACTTTTTCAAATAAATTTCAAGGCAGACCATTTTGCATTAGAATGTTGCTGATAACTGCAGTATATATAAATATTATAGGAAACCTATTGAAGTGATTCATGGTGTACTATTGATCTAATCAGATTTAACTAAGTGTTTGCATCACGCCTTATTAATCACAGATAATAGGGCTCTTAGGACACATTGCAGAATCAGGACTTTTCTTTCCACAAGTGAAATGTTTGCTTTCATAGTGGGCAGGCAGCGTCCAAAGATTCTGGCTGTATCTTGCTGGGACTACTGCAGTCCATGGGACTTCCCCTGGGATGAACTTTGCCAGGTCTGTTGATGCTCTAAAACACTGATTAGGGGTATTGTTCTGCTCTGCAATTGATTCTGCCCAGCTGAGGAATGTTCTCCAGTTTTCACTGGACAATGATTACAAGATGAACTGGTGTGAATTGCAGTGCTTGATGTTACCACTGGGACTCTACCCTCTGCAGCCCATGCCTGTCCCCAGCCCTCTTCTGCCTCTTTGGTTTGTAAATTCTGTGCTTGTCTGTGTCAGGATAAGTTCTGTGATTTTACTTTTTGTGTGTGACCGTAATCCCCTAGAGTCCCCTTTCTGTCAGTGCTGTAACAGAAGCCCCATCTCAGTGTTCACATGCAGAGCAGTTTGATAAGGAACAGCGATGGGCTGGAGGATAGCACCATTCGCAGGCATTATTGCTGCTGGTGTTACTGCATGGAACAGAAAATTGAGCATAGGGTGGGACCCACTTTGCTGCCTACAGGTTTGGAATGAGCTGGTTCAGGGACTCGTGTTCTAGGAATCCAATCTCTGTGGCTTGTGATATACAGTTCTGCAGACGAAGCTGCATTACACAAGTCTGATTTTTGTGCTCGCGGGCTGCCTAGCTATGTAAAAGTTATGTGTGTTTCTCCTTGGTTTTGCCCCGTGGTTTGTGTATTTTGATAACCACGGTCGAGTTGATTTAAGCAGGTCTTGAAATGCTGTTTTGGAAAGTTATGACTGTGTATCAGACTGGGTAATCCACCCCTGCTCCACTCGCTCCCTGTGAAATCCAGTACAAAGAACTGTTCAGGACTGTGGTTGGACTGGGGGAGGTGAAGTGAATGATTCCCCTTCTGCTGAGGTTGTGTGAAGTGAAAGCCTACGGGAACTTCAGAAAATGTGATAAGCGAGGGGGTCAAACAGCCAATTAAACGTCCAACCCCTTTCAAACTACATGTTGTTGCTGAGATCTGGTTGTGTGACTCTTTCAGGTTTCGCTGATCAGCTCAATCAGGAGGAGCTGATGATGAGGCGCAAAGGATGGTTCCTCCCAGTGCAAGGTCCCACGGGTCTTTCCTCTGTTTGGTGGTCTGTAGGAGCTCCTGGAGAGGAGTGGGATGCAAGACACGGGTTCTGCTGCTTAACTCCTGAACCCAACTCTTCCTGCTCTCTGTAAGGGATCAGTTGGCTGGATTTGAGGTATACATGTTGGAGATTCTAGCTGGTATGCTGGGAGCCTCGATCCCTGCCTCTATCCCAAGCTGTGGTGTTGACTTGCTGAGTAAAGGACACCTGCCCAGTGGAGGAGGTCAAGGGTTCCAAGCCTCTTCTCAGCCTGGGGGAGCAGGATTTTGCTGCACTTGGCTGTGCTGTTGGCTGTAACTCGCTCATCCTTCTTTACTAGCCATCATCACAACGTGACACGATTGCGCTGTGCTTTATGAGGAGCAGGAGTTACATCTTGGCAGAATTCATCTTCCCTCCCCCACGCACGGGATGAGGCCTCCCCAGGTGCTGTCTCAAGTGTACACTGGAGCATTTGAAACCCCTCCTTGAGGCGAGACGGATGAGGAATGAATATCCCAAGGAAAAATGTCCCGCCCTCCCCCGTGGCGGTGGTGGTTGAGCAGCACGTTGGAGCCAGCTGTGCAAACACAAGAGGGCTGCACAGCCCCCTCCCTGCTGCTCTGCGAGGCCGTGCCAGCACTGACCTCAGCCCTCAGGTGGACGTCTCCTCCACCTCGCAGCTGGTGGGGCTGTCTCCATCCTGCCGTGGGACAAGAAGCAGCCAAACGTGGTGTTCCTGCAATCTGTGTGAGCCTCGTCCCCGTGAACTGTTTTAGACAGCTTGAATGTGTGACTTGGTTGGGTGCTTGGGGTATGGTAGCACGCCAGCTGCTCTGCTCCAGGCTGGTCAGCAGAGCACCGTGCTGGAGATTTCCTCCCTGCACCTGTCTGTAAGGTGACCTGCTTGCCACATCTGAGAGCAGTGGGCTTTGTCCAAGTTCTGCCTGATGGTATGTGCTGCAGCTCCTGCCAGCTGCTCCTAAGCTAGCAACTCCGCACTGCACCACACTCACAGGAAAGAGATGGGAGAAGAATGCTTATCTTCCATTTATTTTATGCTGTTCTTGGCCTTAAGTAAATCCTCATTTTCATCAGGCTGGCACAGAGTGCTTTCTGCTGCTTCCTGGAGCAGCTCCTCAGGTGTCTGCCCCTAAGCCTCTCTTTGTGCCTCAGCCCTGTGTGGCAGGAAATAAATGCTCCCTGGTACTCCTGCCCTGCCAGAATCTCTTGGCTGAAGGCAGGGTTGGGGAGTTACCGAGGGGTCCAGCACCTCCTGGAGATGTCAGGCAGAGCTGGGAGGCTGAAACAAAGCCCTGAGGCTGCCCTGGCTCCAAACTGAGCAGATGATCATGGAAAGAGCGTGGCTCGCCTGCATCCCATATGAAAAGGAAACGGGGCCATAGCAGAGCAGCTCATTCTGTCTGCTAAATGCATGTTCAGGTCCTGAGACCTTTTTCTAAGCACGTCGAGGAATATCTGCCTAGGGAAGGCAGTAAGTAGTGAGTCCACAAAGCAATCTGTTTGCGTTAATCTCAGATGGTACATAATAATAGTGCTCAGCGCTGGGTAAGTGCCGGGCAAATATTAGTGGCTTGTTTTACTTGTTGCAGGAGCTGAAACTTATCACAGTCAGTAAGCTGCAGTGTGTGTTGCTATAGGAGAGCTGGCCAGAACCTGGATTTCTTCCCCAGCCACCTCTGTGAGTCTGGGGACTGGATGTTTCGGGGGGTAGCTGGGAAAGCCCATTTTATTTTCATGTTGCTCTTTTTTCCCTCTCTTGTTTGAGTCCGATTTTAAAGGCTGTCCTGGTTAGTTGCTCCCCACACCATCTACCCATAAAAAAACCCCTGCAGAGGCACACCAGGGAGCGTGCTAGAGCTGGGAGGTACACCAGTGTGCTGCACAGTGTGTTTGCATCTGCTCCAGTGTTGGCTGCCCTCTTCCTGCAAGTGACAGGCTCTGGCAAATGCCAGGCTGCTCATTACCTTTGCACTGCTCCATACATAATGAGGTAAAATGAAAACAAGTTCCCTCACTGCAGCTATGTGATCTGGGAACTCATAAAGGCTAAAGTGCTTTTAATTATGAGCTTGTTCCGATTATGCCCAGGCTTTCTGTTTCCTCCCATGGAGCAGACCAGCCCTCTGAGGTCAAGATGAACTTCAGTTAGAGAACTTCTGGCACACAGTTAGGAAAACTGGAGAGTTTCCCCCCTCCTAAAACTAGACACCTGCAATGTGTGATCTATTGTTCCCCAGAGGCCCATTCTCCTGGCTGTAATATTGCTGAAAGCAGAACAAACACAATTATTTCTGGACAAGAAAGAGCCTTTCCTTTCTCTCTGGCTCTGTAGCACACCACGAGCCCCCTGTTCTTCTCCCAGCTGTGGGATTGCAGGCTCTGATGAAGCAAGAGGCTTTAGCCTGTTTGGTTGAACTTCCATCTCCTGGGCTTGGAACTGAGATTTCGTAAGCTGAACTTGCTCCCTTCATCCTGAACTTGGAGCCTTCTCTGGAGAGGGACCGGAGGATCTGCGAGCAAAGATTCA